TCTGATTGGCCATTGCATTCCTAAGCTCAACAGATATGTGTGTGATTGGTTATAATGCGCAACACTGCAAAAACGCCTAAAATGCAATAATTTTTTAATTTAATGCCGCAATCGACACTTTCTAATAATTTTCATCTTGTTAGCAACAGACAGTAATAGATTTAATTTGTTTGCGCAGGGGCATTTTTGCCCCAACTAGCTGTGGTCACTACACACGCTCCGCCTATGACAGTTGAATATATATTTCAGTAGTATATTATACTTTTTTAAAAATTATACTCAATTATACACTTATTATATCCACAAACTGCACAAACTGCCTTCTTGTTATAAGACGAAAGGAGAGAAAAAAGGTAAATGCATTTTGACTTGTTTAATTTGTTTAATTTGTTGTACTTTGTTGAAAACTGTAGTCACAATGACATCATATTTTCTAATCACTGGTTTAGCTCCTTTAGATATCATCAGGTATCATTTTCATACAAACCGTAAATACTGGACATCATGAGAGGGAATTCTGTGCAGCTTAACGCCATTTAAAGGGATCAAACTAGAAAACCTTTCCGTGTTTTTCTTTGTGCATTTCAACACATCCACTGTAAGCTTAAAGCTTAGTGTTGGGTCAGGTTGTGTGTGTGTGTAATTTCTGATCACTACTGCCAATCACATGTGCTCAGCAACAGCCAACTGCCTAAAGGACACTTTAGGATGAGTTAATGACATCAACAAGTTTGCAAATGCAGCGAGGAACTTGTGAAAAGCCTGTTTTTGATGTTAAGACGCAGGTTGGACTTAATGATATGATGTCTATACATTATTGTCAATTACATAGAGTCTCATCCTTTAAGCCTTTGTCGCTCTTGAATCTCAGCACATATACTTTTTTAAAAATTATACTCAATTATACACTTATTATATTATACATTACCACAAACTGCCTTCTTGTTATAAGACGAAAGGAGAGAAAAAAGGTAAATGCATTTTGACTTGATTTAAATGTTTAATTTATTGTACTTTGTTGAAAACTGTAGTCACAATGACATCATATTTTCTAATCACTGGTTTAGCTCCTTTAGATATCATCAGGTATCATTTTCATACAAACCGTAAATACTGGACATCATGAGAGGGAATTCTGTGCAGCTTAACGCCATTTAAAGGGATCAAACTAGAAAACCTTTCCGTGTTTTTCTTTGTGCATTTCAACACATCCACTGTAAGCTTAAAGCTTAGTGTTGGGTCAGGTTGTGTGTTTGAGCGAGATGCTAACGGTCTAATCAGATTCAATGATCTATGCTAAGCTACAGCTAAAAGTGCTACCGCCAGACCCGGAGATCGGCTGAATGGATTCGAAAACGGTAAAACTCAACTGTTTAACTCCAGGGGAGTTGGAAAATGAGCTACTTTCAAAAATAGTGGTGTGTTCCTTTAAGAAATGCTAAAACAACAGATCATTAACCCTCAGAGACCCAGGCATTATTGATGTATTTTTAACATATATTAAAATTGTTTTTAAGAAGTCACTGTTTTTGTTTTTTTTTATCATGTACATTACCATTCAAAATTTTGAGGTTGGTAAATATTAAACATTCTTATACATTAAAACTTTTAAAACATAATTTAAACAAATTCTAAACAATTTTAAAACATTATTTATTCTTGTGCTGGTAAAGCTGAATTTTCAGCATCATTACTCCAGTCTTCAGTGTCACATGATCCTTCAGAAATTATTCTAATTGGCTGCTCAACAGACATTTCTTATCAATGTTGAAAAGTGCTTAATATCACTGGAAACAGTGATAATTTTTTTTTTTTAGGATTTTTGATTAATAGAGAGTTAAAAATATTTTTTATAATAATGTAAAAGTCTTTACTCTCAATTTAATAAAAGTATCAATTTCTTTCAAAAAAGAAAAGAAAGAAAAAAATACGTATAGAGCCTAAAACTTGTAGGGCAGATTTTGTGAAAAAGTTATTTTTTTACAAAAGTTCTGCAAAATTGCAGTTTATGAACTTAAGGTTTACATAAAATTACACACACACACACATATATATATAACTAACTGTCAAGAATTAAAACTGTTGTTCGAAAGCTTACAAAATTTGATCCAAGTCAGTAGACAGTGATGTTGCCACGTTACATTTCAGAGCATGAGCAGCTGTTTTAATCCATATTTGGGTATTATCAACCTTCAAAAATAAATTTTTGGTGCAGTTGGTCTCTGAAAGCTAAAGTGCGCTTCACATTTTTGATCTGGAAGCTCAAACGCAACACACCTTTACTGCGTTCATGAAATCAGACAAGGTAAAGTCCTCATGACCAAAGATAGTCCAACGGTCCCAGATAGAAAAGGAGATATCATCTCTGGTCAAAACAAAAGGATCAAATTGGACCAAGATAAGAAAAACACATCTTTTCATTTTTACTAGTGCCAATCCGTGCATGAGTGTTGCCGTTACCTGATCTGGGTTCTCTTGACCGGAGCGGTTTCTGTGAGCACCATGACTGGAATGGCCAGGTTGAAGAAACAGTTTTTAAATAACTCAAATCCATAACCACCAGCGACTTTTATCAACTCCAATGACACCTACAGAGAATGAATAATAAAACAATCATAAATAAATAAAGCAATGGACTGCACACAATGGAAATCATCAAAGAATAACGATTCCTCTTCTAAACAGGGTTGTTTCTCTCACCAGTCCTGCGACAGCAGCTGTAGATGTGGCGATAGCAGGGATGATTTTGCCAGCGATTCGTTTGGTTTGTAGTCTGTCAGCGGCCTCAATGGCGTACATATGAGCTCGCAGAGCCGACGCTGATGCTATGAAATCTATGTGTCCATTTGAGTCGTCATCCTTTTCAAAGAAAAGCGGAGTCATACGGAGCCTCTCTAAAGACAAAAGAAGAAAGGAAAAGAGACATAAGAGGAACAGTGTATGAAAAGAGTAGGATATCATAGTTTAGCTCATACAGCTGTTATGTGTGAGTGCATGTGGATGTGTATCAACACACCCGGTGTTACAAAGCTGGAGATGATGGCCTCCTGTAGCTGTGAGATTGCTTGTCTTTCCTCTTCACTGCTTACGGTCATTTTCAACTGATCAGGCTTCTTAACAGTCTCATCGGTCTCTATATGCTGATACAAATACACACACTTAGTGATCTTTCTTAAAGGGGAAGTGAGCAATTTCAATCTGGCACATGTATCAAATGGATGTCTTTGTCAATGGTCCATTTGAGAGATAGGTGGCGGTAATGCACTTATAAGGCTGCGATCCGCTGTAAAGCAATAAGACGCGTCGGCTGTTGAGAACGCACTCAGGACAGTTCGGACATTGCGGCGAAGTTTTGAGTTAAAAATCTTCGTTTTTGTTCTACTGAAGAAACAAAGTCACCTACATCTTGGATGCCCTGGGGGTAAGCAGATAAACATCAAATTTTCATTTTTGGGTGAACTA